GGAAAGGCTGCATTCTTATGTGGAGCTAAGGGTCCTTTTTCCAATTCATTCGTGTTTTTTGGCAGAATTCAGTTCCCTGCAGGGGTAAGACAGAGGCTTCTATTTCCTTATTATCAGCAAGGAGCCATTCTCAGTTCCTAGAGGCTACATTCCACACCTCATAGATGTTAGTTTTCTTTTAGGCACTTCAGAGTGCATTCCTCTTCCCCAGCACCCACAGAAAACCTTGCTTTTAAAGGGCCCAGATGATTAGGTCAGATCCACCGATAATCTCCCTATCTTAAAGTCAACTGAGTTGGAACTTCAATTACAACTGCAAAATCCCTTCACAGCAGCATATAGATTAACTGTTGAATAAGTAGGAGAAAGTGAGCTACAATATATTGGGGTCTATCTGAAAATTCTGCCTCTTACAACCCCCAAAGTTGAGATATACCCATTTAAAAAATACTATAAAAAGTGAAGAAGAAAAAAGAGAAATAACCAATTGCCTTAGCTTTTTTGCTGCAATATTCAGACGCCTCACCCATTCACATGGCTCGTTTGCTGTAAACTAGTAAAACTAGAGCAAACTCTAGGGAGATAACAGAAAAATAAAATAAAATCAACTGTGACCTTAGGCTTGAAGGGAACCAAAGTTTGCTACTCTGAAGCTGCCTTTTGGGATATTGAGATATTGATTTTAAGCCTGTTACTGAGAAACAGAAGACTCAAAATGAAACTTTGGCCCTCCCTCCTTTCCTGCCCAAGAGGTTCAGTAGCAAAATCTGCTTCAGGAAGGGAATTTTAGGATGCTGCCTTAGCCTAATTTGAATTAAGTATAGTATCATAGGAAGGCTCCAGGTAGGCCCCTGTTAGCTAGATACCCCCTGTGTCCCTTTGTTTCAGAGTTGCCAAGCAAGGATTTGCCTGCTTTGTTTGTTTAGTTCTTCCTCAACTACCTGTAAATCACCCATTCTCACTTTTGAAATCTCAAAACACATCCTCTCCCCTTCTCTTCTTTGTCCAAAATGTCATATATACCCAGTGTTACCTCACTGCCTTTAGAATTTTCATGCATATATGAATTCCCATGTTCATGTATTAAAGTTTTATATTCTCCTCTTAATCTGTCTCTGTTAATTTGATTATTAGCCTAGGTGAGAGGAAGAGTATTCTTGTTTGTTTGTTTTTTGCCCCCACAGGCTCAAATACTGACTAATAAATGCCACCTGTGAAACTTTGGGCAAGTAACCTAACTCTTCTAAACCTCAGTTTTTCTACCTATTAAGTGGGGATAATAGTATTATTTTCCTCATATAGTGTATGGAGTAAGTGAAATAATAAATGAAAAGTACTTAATACAGTGCCTAGCTCTAATTTAATGATAGCACTCATTTCATTATCATTAAGTGACATAAGAAATGTGAAACTATCTCAGAAAGTATAGTTATTGTAATGTAACATGTCACTAAGTATATATAAAGAACATACCATTAGACAGATTCCCTATACATAGATGCACATTTAGTATGTACACATGTCATATACATACTGACAATTCTCGGGGGAAAGGGGTACTGGGGGTGTGGGAAGAGACTGGAAAAAAATCGTACACCTAAGGATGAGGTCAGTGCAGGGGGGTAAAGGCAGAGGGTGGGTGGGAACCGGGTGGAGGGGAGCTATGGGGGGAAAAATAGGAACAACTGTAATAATCTGAACAATAAAGATTTAAAAAATTAAAAAATTACTGTAAAAAAATACTGTATCACCTAACCCCATACATTAAAAGCCTACATGCCTTACAGTGTTGTCAGAGATGTTCTGAGTGATTACCCATGCGCTGGAGCAAAACTGGCCGCAAGGATACTGCAAGTTTGTATTCTTTCCAATAGGAGAAAGCAAACACACTACAAAGTTGTTTCATGCTCCAACTTTTGGAACTCTTAAGGAGAGTTTATGCTATGCAGATAAGGAAATATAAAAAGTTTCCTTAAACCCACCTTAGTCTTAGACCTCTGTAGTTTTTAAAATCATTGTTAACAAGCCAGGTAGAAAAAGGCTTTATTCTCATTTTTATCTGTAAGTATGATTCTGTTTTGAAATTGATTCAAATAATGAGTACCTTTAGTTCTGGGGTACCCTAGAAAATACTATCCTATGGATCAAGTGTTGGCAAATGTTTTCTGTAAAGAGCTAGAGAGAAATTATTTTAGGCTTCGTGGGGCACACATAAACATATAGGCCCTGCTGTGTTCCAATAAAACTTTATTTACAAAAACAGACAGCATGGAAGATTTGTCAAGTGTACCATAATTTGCCAATCTCTGCTTTGGACCAATAGTTTTCACTTTCTTTTTTTATTAACGAAGCCTTGAGAGTAGTCTATGGAGGCTTAGAGATGGCCAAGCAGGCAGTGATCTGAACTATCGCTGCTTTGAAGTTTTCATTCTTATGACATATGGACTTTTGCATGAAATAAGTTTGTTTAAAGGGTTTCATTTCTAAAACGGAGAAAAGCTTCAAAATCACTGCCTTGGAGTAAACCTAAAACCTGCTGCTTTAAAACTCAAGAACAGATTTCACAGGCAAAACACATCTTTTCACATCTTTAAAAAAATGATTATCATATGTTATTAACCACTGTTACCCTAATAAATTTAATTTTTTTTTTAAAAAAAGGATGACATGTGGTACGTATAGGTTTTAATGTTCCCAGAAAAATTCACTGTCTCATACCACTGGGGGAAAAAAAACATTTAATGAACAATTTAATAGATCTAAAAATATTATAGGTTATTATTTCTAATCTATTTTGACTTTTTTCTAATATAATGCTTAAGGTACCTCAAGAGGTCCAAGAGAGGTGTTATGGTAGAGTGAAAAAGCACCAAATTAGGACTCCATATTTGTCTTCTTTCCTAGATTGTGAGCTCCTGGAGACAAGAATTAAGTTGCCTTCTTCATTGTTGAATTGTCTTCAGCACCTAGAACAGTACATGATAACAAACTTTAATTTTAAAGCAAATATAAATTCACTTCATTAGATAGCTAGAAAGATAATAAATTCAGGTAGGTTATTTACTTATATCTCTCCATAATGCATAAGAAAAAAAATCATCTTTTTTAGTGAGCAACAAATATGTTAGTACTTTGAGATACATTCTTATACCTGGGAAATTTAACATATTTAAAACGCATAAAAACTAACAATTACTGGATTGTGACCAAAGTCGTATCCTTACAATGGTTTACAACTCCTTTTCCTACAATTCTGAAATACAAAAAGCTCTGGAAACCAAAAACTTTTTATTTTGTAATTTTTAATAACATGATAGTCAAATTCATCTAACCTACACTTATTTGGCAGTATCTGACCTAAACTGAATGAGGCTATTTACTGGTATTTATTTATCCAGTATGAATAGTTGTATGGCTTGATGCAAGAAATATTACCATATTTAAATATGCAGTATTTTCCCTGAACTCCCTGGGGTGTTACAGTATACAATACCTGGCATTTGGTTTTACACAAGGTCAGACAATGCCAGATCTTTTCCTGGTTGCTTTATACGAAGGAATCCACAGTCCTATTTCAGCCTTTCTGTGGCCATGCCCCTATCCCAAGCCAATCTTTTCTGCAGCCATCTTTAGCAATACTTGAGGCTGCCCAAACAGCTCAGAGAGCTCTCCTGCAGTGTCAGTGGGGAAAAAATAAATAAATGTACTTCACAATCATATAGAAAGTTAATGTAATCACTTTGATCGTCAATGACCTGTTGTTTAAGAAAAACACATTAATCTTTTATAAAGTACTTATTTTCATCACTTGACATTGGGCAGTCGAGAATCAGAATGTAGTTACTTGATCTTACCCTTGCAAGGGTGTCTGCTCAGTATATAGATAGCATTTACCATTTGACTGATGCACATTTTGGATAGTACATAAGAATTTCCATTACATTAGGTGTGGGCAGCAACGGATATTTATAGAGAAAAATAACTGGCTCAGTTCCAACAACAATCCATGGAACCGGTACACTCCCCACATTTCTCATGTACCCCACCCTGTGGCCCACAGGACCATATCTAGGGATCTCAATTAGAGATCTTGTAGTAAATAGGGCACGCTATTCTAGTACCGCTAGAGGTGGTGGATCTGCCTATGCCTTAGGGTGGGCTATTCGGGGTTTGGACAAATTAAGACGATGTAAATGCAAACCACAATGCCAACGTTTCCTAGACCATTTCCTCGTAAGAAAAAAAAAAAAAAGCGGACTCGAAATCACCCCTCTAAAAATGCCTCATTCAGGAACTGTAGAGTCAGTGGTTAAAAGGTTCGCCGGACCACCACCTACGTCGGGGTGTGCTCCCTCAGAGCCGGGGTACCATGCCGCTCCTGCGCAGGTTCTAGGCTCCTCCCTTTGGAGCTCTGACCCACCCTTCTAGGCTACTTCCGGCCCTCACCGAACGCCCTCAACGCGCTTGCGCCGTTTTGATAGGCTTCTGGAGCCGGAGAAATCCGAGCGCTGCCCCTCTGGAACCGCCCCCGCCCCCTCGTCGCCCCGCCCACGCTTTACCGGCCTCCGCCCGAAATCTCGCGAGGGTAGGTGCGCGTCCGTATTTTGCGGACAACTAGCTCTCACAGCTGCTGTAATTGCTGCTTCGGGAGAAACCGGAGCCGCTGTAGTCCGCGCGCCCGCCCTCCCCCTTTGACGAGAGCCACCGCCTCTTCTTTCGCTCTAGACATATACCCATTGCGGGGAGCGGCGGCTGCCACAGTCCCTGGACCCTACGCCGTCTCATCTCTTCGGACGGCCGCTTTGCCGGTCATTCCCGCAGCCCCGCAGCTGACGGCGCCCCCCTGCTCCGAACCGGCTCTTCACTTCAGAACGTCCGTTCACCCCTCATCGCGCGGGACTCACCTCCCACGGTCTTGCCGGGTGGAGGACGACCGGGAGGAGACGAGAGTCACCCTCCTAGGCGGCGTCGGCCCCCTCACCCGCGGGTGTGTCCTATAAATGGCGTCGGAAAGCGACACCGAAGAATTCTTTGATGCTCCAGAAGATGTGCACCAAGGGGGTGGCTACCCTGTAGGGTAAGTAGCTATGGCCCCGAAGCCGGGCGTCACGGTCACCCGGCTTCCCCTGTGCCGTTCCCCTTCACCCCTCGCTGGTCCCGCTGTGTCCAGCGCTGCCCTGTCTCCGGCACTTCAGTGAGTCTCGGATGGGGGATCGCCCACCTCGGGCAAACCCCTTCCTTGCCCTGGTGAGAGACCTCTGGGGCTCCAAGGGAACCCCTTTCTCGTCTCGCCCGGCTTTCTGCGAGGTGGGACAGCTGACGTGCCTGAAAGCCGGAGAGCCGGCGATTTGTGTTTGTGGGGTTCAGAGCTTACCTTTGAAACATCCGTTTGGCCTTGGATTTCCATAGATTAAAGGAGCGGTAACGGGAGAAATCACATTCCCCCCCCCTTTTTTTTTTTGCCTCTAACACCTATTTCAGAGGTAGCTGTAAAATGTAAACCTCCTGATTTACCATGCTCTTTTCCTTGCACAGAAAAAAAAGGAGTGGCGAAAAGGGTTGGGTGTTTACTTAGGAAAGTCCTCTAGCTGATGTACTCTAGATCAACAGTGTTTTATTAAAATGCCACCTTACGGTGAGGCGAAAGAAGTTGAATGTCCTTTACCATTAGGGAGAATGCAGTCTTAAAAGGTAGCTGCACATAAATGTATACAACAGACTACAGAGATACAAACAAGTGCTGAGTAATCTGGTGGTTGGAAGGAGAGCCACAGCTTTGTGCTTTTTATCTAATTCTGCAAGATGTTTTAGTGGTGATTAATATGGGAGATTCTGAATAGGAAGTACAGTAGTTGGAATGCTTCCCTTGACTAGGACTCTTATTTACCCACCCCTCCACTATTCAGAGTTGGAATAATATTTATAGAGATTTTGTCAAACTCTTCTACGGACTTGTGTGGGACTAGAGGCAGTAAAATATATGTGTTCACGGTGTAATAACTTGAGAATTGGTAAAATTTGTATATAATTGTAAGACACTAATATGGCCAACTGCCATCAATTTTCAAGCTTACTCCTTGGAAAACAGACCTTGTTTGATGCAAGCAGAGTTATCCTTACATTCTAGAAGTCATTTTAAAACCTAATATATAATGTATTACCAAGAAAAATCACAGCAATAAAGTCAAAGAATGTACATAGGTAAATCCTGAGGTGTGTGTTTTCACCAACCTTCTTCATACCCTCTTCATATCACTATGAGGGGATTTAGGGGTGGGAATGGCCAATCTTGAGGTTTCACTGAATCTCCTTCAAATTCAGTATCTGAAACAAGTTAATACCTAAATGATAGAGGATAGAAAATACATTTGGATCCCCTTGAAATTAAATTTTATTTTTGTGGTTTCCTTTTCAAAGTAATGAATTTTCAGTTCAGTTTAAATGAAACCTAATTCTTTAGTACTTATGTGTGTGTGTGGAATGGGGAGGAAAATAACAATTGATGTATAGGATTGTAATCAATTTAGAACTGTGTGAATAGTGGTTCTTTTCTAATGAACAAAACATTTAATTTCGAAGGACAGTCATATCGGCACCTGTGTAAACTGCCAAGTGCAGCACCTGGCACAGAAAGAACTCAAATGTTTATTCCCTTCTCCTTCCTTCCTTGGAAATAGCAAAATTAACTTCATACAGTGCTTACTTTGGGAGGAAGTATGCAAAACTTGGAGCTATTTAACTTGTCTAAACCGATGAGTCATTTTGATAGAATTGATAGAGTCATTTCTTCCCTCATGGGATAATATAGCTTCTCAAGCTCTTTGATCCTTTGATACTAGGTGAAAAGTAAAAATCTCTCTCTTGGGACCCAGTGTTCTAATTTTAACTCTAACCTGCCCAAATGTTTAGCCTGTTGAGCCCTATGGATAAAACTATTTCAGTCTCAATTTCATGGCTTCATCCTGTAATAGTCGGGGGATTTGGAAGAGAATTAGTGAACTCACCTGGAGAACTGCATCTGAAAAGAACTAAAAGTACTGCCAGAATAGCAAAAGGTTGGTATAATTAACATATCCTTTATCCTTTGTGACAAGTTTTGTCATTTGCATAAGGTACTGTGAGGAGACCTAGAAATGCAGTGAAAAATCTTATCTGTGAAAACAGATGGGGTCACTAGATACCTGGTCATCAGCATATCTTCTGTCCTTTAATGTGAACCAAAGTAGCGCACCATACATACTGTAAGAGGTTAACAGACTGAGTTTGGGCACTTAAAAGATGTTTCTTGCACTATGGCCAGCGTGGCTTGTTGTTTGAGCATTGCCCTGTACACCGAAAGGTCAGGGGTTTGATTTCTGGTCAGGACACATATGCAGGTTGGGGGTTCAGTCCTCTGACCTGGTGTGCATATGCGAGGCAACCAATCAATATTTCTCTCTCACTTTGATGTTTGTTCCTCTACCTTCCTCTCTCTCTAAATAAGAAAAACATATCCTCAGGTGAGGATTTTTTAAAAAATAAATGCTTCTTGCTATTGTATGTTCTAGAGCAGTGGTTGGCAAACTCATCAGTCAACAGAGCCAAATAACAGTACAGCCATTGAAATTTCTTTTGAGAGCCAAATTTTTTAAACTTAAACTCCTTCTAATGCCATTTCTTCAAAATAAACTCACCCAGGCGTGGTATTTTGTGGAAGAGCCACACTCAAGGGGCCAAAGCAGACCACGGTTCTAGAGGACACAGACCATTTCACCAAATTTGTAGTAAACTGAGTGGGCAGTTCAAAGTTATTTCATTTTTGTTAATTAGTAGAATCGAAATACATAATTCATTTCCTAATATTGTTTTTTTTTCTATTCTCCAATGGTATTTTCTGCTTTATTCTACTCTTTGAAAGCAAATTTAATAAGTTAAAAATAGCCCCCCCCCGCTTTTTGTTTAATAGGGAGACTTTATTCCAATGCAGCCTACTTTTCCACAGTGGCAGATCATCTCCACTTGATCAGCTTTGCAATATATACCACATTTATAATGCTTTATTTTGGTTGATACTTTAGGTCATGTTTTCTTACTCTTATTTCCATTTTTATATATGAGGAACCTTAGGCTCAAAGAGGCTAATGAATTGGCCTAAGAGGAACACATGACAGAGCTGGAATTTGAAACCAATTCTCTAGACTCCTACTTTAGTATTTTTTTCTAATGCGTAATAGCAGCCTCACACTGTGTGTGTGTGTGTGTGTGTGTGTGTGTGTGTGTGTGTGTGTGTGTGTGTTCTGAAGAAAAATGCTTTAGGACTAACTTGATGAATTGAACTGATGCATCTATTTAAAACCAGCAACCCAACTTTTCTGTTCTCTTGGCTAGAAGTTTCCACTTTCTCTTTCAGGAATGTGTATTTTGTTTTGTCAGATAGGAATTTTATAAGATCATGGTATGTTACAGCTAGAAGGGACATCTAGTTAAACCCCATATAAAATGTTATGAAAACCAAAGCCCACTGCGGTTTAATGGTCTGATGGATGTTTCTCTGTCTCTGGATCTGTTTTTGTTAAGGGAAAGTGACTTGTCCAAGGTTCCATGGCAAATCAGTAACAGAGTTAGGACTATAATCAGATTAGTTTCAGTCTAGTGTTGTTTTTTTCTGCTACCATGCTGTCTTTTGATAAAGCAGGAAGGAGAGAAGGAAGTGTGGTATAGTAGAAAAAAGCCCTGGACTGTGAGTCATTTCATTTCCTCATCTTTAAATTGAGGAGATTCTGAGCACCCTTCCAACTGTAAAAGTCTGTCATATTGAGGTTTAATAATGTGCTTTTATTGATAAACTTTGGTTCTTAGGAATTCTTTCTATGATTTTATTTTAGTTTTTAATTGAACAAAGTTGATGGTATTGGGACATGATGCAAAACCAGTAGATTTCAAATGAAAGATTTACTGGGTAAATTCTATAGGAGATGAATGTTCCTGCTAATTTGTGGATTATATATATGCATAGTAAAGGCTAGCACTGAGAACATCATGTTATAAAAATAAATGGGACATTTGAGCATTCTTTTTTCAATTTTATTTTATTGTTTAAAGTATTACCTATAGTAGTACATATATCTCCTTTTTTCCCCCATCGACCTTCCCCCTGCCTCCCTCACATGCCCTCATCCCCCCTTCCCCCACCCCAGTGTCTTATGTCCATTGGTTGTGCTTATATGCATGCATACAAGTCCTTTGGTTGATCTCTTTCTACCTCTCCCCAACACTCCCCAACCTTCTCGCTGTAATTTGATAGTCTCTTCCTTGCTTTACTGCCTCTGTGTCTATCTTTTTATTCATCAGGTTCTAATGTTCTTTATTTTCCATAAATGAGTGAGATCATTTATTTAAAATTAATTTTTCATGGCAACCAAAATATTTTGAGGTGTTGGAAGGAAGGATAGAATGATAACAATTTTAGAGTAATGAAGCTGATAGATCATTTAATTCAGGCCACCCATCTAACTGGAAGAAATCTAGGCTCAGAGAAGGGAAGTGACACATTGCTGATTAGTGGCAGACTGGGAACTAGAACTCCAGTCTCCTGTTTGTTCATTTATTCCATGTTGCCTTGTCTGTGCAAGGAGGGAAAGTATTGCTTGCTGGATATTCCTGCTGTAGGTTTTTGGCATTTACCCTATTAGTCGGGCTCTTAAGATGGTTTACTCTCTACTGAGATTCTGTTTTTTCATACCTTTTGTCAGAAGGCATTGTTCTAGGATCTTGAATCTTGCCCACTAATTTTCTCCAGGTCAGGATAAACAAAGATTACACAGTAGCTGATCTAGGAACAGTGGTGGTTACTTATTTCATTTTATTTTTAGCAATCTAGTCAGTGTCAACTGACTTATCTTTGTAGATTAGAGTAATAGTGAAATCTTGATTTTCAAACCATAAGAACTGAGATCAAACTGTCCTGAAGAATTTATCCTAAAAAAAAAAAAACAACACACCACAAAGTTGCAGAGCTTCCTTTGGTGAAAACAGCTTCTCACTTTATTTGGGTATCATAAACATTTTCTCTCTGAATTGAAAATTGATACAAGTTTT